TATTTGAAAGAGGGGTCATATCCTGGTACTAAAGTGGAGTAGAAGGTGCTAGATGCACTGTGGAGCTTAGTTCAGGGAAGGTGAAGATTTCATCCTTTGAGATGAGTTCTAATCTCGTATTCCGCTCCCTAGACCTAGGCAAATGGCAGTGCAAGCTAAGCCTCTCTCTGGTGCCTTTTATCTCCCTTTCCAAATTCCTCTTTATTACTGCCATGCTTCTTTTGATTATCTGATGCCTGTTATCCAACCTTGTGTGTCTCATGCAACAAAATGCTCTTTTGCCCTTTTGCAAAAGGCCTGCAAACTCTTAATTCCCTGAGTACTGCTGTATTAGCCAAAGATTAACTAGTGCTGGTGACAGAAGAGTTCAGTTCTCCAGGGCATACTTGGATTTGAAAAGAGCATTTTAACAACTGTTGGAATGTTGAAAAAGGTACTCCTGAGAGCTTTGTGGATCTCTCCCAGTCATGGCTGCCTCGGGCTATCCCTTCCTGCCTTCACTGTAACTGATCTTCCAGGGGCTAGAGCATGAGGAAGCAGGATTGAGTAGTAACATGTAAATATAGCCTGGTGGTTAAGAACATTGGTTCTGGTGTTAACAAAGCTGTAAGATTGAAATTATACTCTTCTTAAGAACCTTTTGAACTCTGATGCTTTTATAAACGGTTTCTGCTCTAATTGAATGACCTTGAAGTGAGTTCATCACTGAGTCTCAGTTTACTCATTTGTAAAATGGAAATAATGACATCAAATATATTTGTTGTGAGGATTAAAGTGTGCCACTGTCCTCAATGATATTCACCTATTCATGGCACATAGGAAATGCTTGATAAAGAGTAGCAACGACTCAGGGACAGCTTTATGGCCTGCAATCTGTGCAGTTGCACAGGACACGTCTGCCAGCGTCTGGAGCACAAGGAGGCACCATTGAGTAGTAACATATAGATATAGTGTGGTGGTTAAGGACACAGGCTTTGGTGTTAACAGGTAAATGCAACCAGAAAGTGGCAGAGCCAGAATCTGAATATAAGTCTTTCTGATTCCAAAATTCAAGCTAGTAGCTTGACCAACAGTCCCAGTTTCCCGCGATGCAAGATTCTCAGCCCTGAAACTGGAAACATCTTGTGCAAACAGAAAGAGCTGGACACCCTACAAACAGGATGCTTTCCATCCCAAGCATGTAAATTCCATTTCTCCCCAATTATATGATCTTGAAGTGAGTTCATCATTTCCCTGCATTGGGTTAATGCCTTATTGTTATCGTCTTGAAATTCTTAATCATATTTGAACAATGTCCCTACAGATGATGTAGCCAGTCTTGCTACTACCAGGCTACACTTGACCTCCACGCACTCATCCTGGCCATACTTCGTCCCTGTCCCTCTCCTTTCTACTGCCTGGTGCTTTGTCCCGTTTCCTTGCCCCCAGGGCCTTAGGAGGGTATTAAAAAAAAAAAAAAGGATAACTTCCTCAGGGAAAAGCTGTGATTTGGCTCACAGCATATGGAATATTCAAAGATAGACATCATCTGTTACCCACACTTTTATGAGACTGACACACTGCCTATAGCATTGAGAAGGCACTTGTTGCCTGCACTTTTAGAAGTCATTTATTAATGGCTTCCTAGGGCATGCCAACTCTAAAATCAAGCTGCAAAAATGACACCAGGTAAAAATTGATCCTGTGAATGACTGTGATGGTGGCATTTGGGTGAAAGGTCTTGAAATGGGCTCTGTCTTTTCCCTCAACCTTCCCCACCTGCTCTTACCACATTCTCCCAGCCAGTGTCAGATTACTTCTCATCTGTCTCGTAAATGGTTCTGACTTGAATTATCCCCTACCGTGATGACATACGATTATTCAAAGAAAGATTTTATAGAAAATGCACTGTTTCTATTCAGAGTTGGGAGACTAGGGAAAGGCATAAAGCACGCCACAGGGGCACAGCCTTGATTCATTTTCTGTGCTCAGCTTAGCTGTTCAAGCCCGGGGTTGTGTCTGGGTAAAGCTGTTTGACTTTGGATAAGTCCTTTAACAACCTGAGGTCCCAGTGTTCTTGACTTTCTACAGTTTTGTTCTAATCTAGCATTCTTAAAGTAGCACATCAGCATAACTTGCTAAATAAGCACCACTTGCTAAGTACAGGCTTAGTGACAAGGAAGTTATTTGGAAAATGAAAAAAGGGCAATTCTTCCATCAGGACTTGAGAAGCCTTGGAGTTTTCTTTCTTTATTGAAAAGACTCATGAGGCCTGCCCAAATCTCAAAGTTGCAGAATGGAAAGTTTTGCAGTAAGCTTCATGGATGTGGGATCCTGGCTTAAAATCTGAACTCCTAGCTCTGCCCCTTTGTATTCATGAGGGCCTCTGCTAAGTAAAGGAACCTATAGGCATATGGGACCCCACAGGCTGTATGTATGTTCTTAGCTGAGCATCAAAAAGGAAACTTCCATAAATGTTCTAAGACTGAGAGAGACACAGCTGAGAAGCAAAGTTAGGGATGATTTTTTGGAAGCTTAGCCTGATTTCGCTCTGTGCATTATATAATATGCATATTATATAATATGTATATAAGCTTGATTTTGCTCTGTTAGCTGGAGTACAAAGAATGGAAAGCAAGAGGGCAAATGTGGGTAGTGGTTGTAATTTGGGAAGTGCAAATGAGTACTTAGTTGTTGTTTTTTTCCATTAAGTTTACTGTTGATATAGTGAGACTTGTGACTATATATCTGCATTTTAGTATCACAGAGACCTGTTTTACTTAATCTGAATAATCTGTTGGGTTTTGGGGCTGCTGACAGGCTTCTCATCTTGAGATTTCACCTGTGATTTGTTCTAAAAGAACTTTGATACAGGAACTCTTTAAGTTAAAACTAATTCTATGAGACCAAGAAGCTGTCCCAGGTCTTAATTCTTCTTACATGACAGGAGCCAAGCCACATGGCCTTCTGAGGCTTCAATATCATTAAAGTCCCGTGGAAACACCAAAGCCCACTGGGCCCACTTTTTGGCACATACTGATGCTGCTGCTTCTGTCTTACAGGTGCTTACATCATGCCGAGCCTTCCTTGTAACAGCGCGAATCCCCACCAAGGTAGGTGTTCATGAAGTCCTTCTTTCAACACTCACACTCACTCAGTGCCGACTCACACATGCACACTCATGCATAGTCACTCATGCATTCTTAAACATGTGTGCACACATACACACTCACATACCGCAACACAACACACACACGCCTCACTTACATAGACTTTTGATTTAAGCTGTGTTCAGATTTCTCTTAGCACATTCTAATTTTCCTTCCTTCTTCCCAGAAGCACCTAAAGGCTGTAATGACAAACATCTTTTTTACTCCTTTGTTCCCTCTCTTTGTGTAAAGGCATCCCAAGAAAATCAGTGAAGGATTTTGTGCTGTATGTCCCTAAGGCTCCATGTCCCAGTTATCTTTCTCTCTCAACTGGGGCTTGATTTCCACTTTATTCAAGTCTACTTCTTATTTCCTTTGGATCAGTACTGGCAGGTTTTTCTAAGACTATAGACATGTGGGAAATAACCTTCATAACTCCAAAGAGTATATTACCAGAAATGTAACCATCTCAGCTGTTCTCCATCTACTCTGATGTTGCCTATAAGAAATAACAAGGCGCCACTCTGTTCTTTAAAAGAGATATATAACATTTTTCATGAGATGTCCTTCATTACTTGGTGCAGAATTCGAACTGATAGTTTGTGAATTAATCATAATAATGACTGACTTTGTTTATGTTAACTAAAAGGAGTTTATCATTTTTATAGGATATGGACTGAATGGTCATAGGAAATTGGGATTTTTTTCCTAAAAAGGTGATAACATTTACTGGAGTGTTGTTTTAGTAAATAACTTGCTCCTTAACAGAATCTCATGAGAGCCATAAGTCTTATTATTATCCCTTTTATTGATGAGAGAACTGAGGCCCAAGGAGGTTCAGTAACTTGACCAAGGTTAAACTTCCACTAATACGTGGCACATGTGTGATTCTAATCAAGGGAGGCTGGCTGCAAAGCCTCTGCTTCTGTTATTGCTAGAATCTAATAAGTTATTTACTAAGTATATAAGTATACAGTCTCATTTAATTCTCACAGTAACCTTGTAGGTGAGTGATTAGAAAATAGCTAAAAGATGCAAAGTTGGCCAGTCTAAAGATTCACAAATAATGAATGGGAGAAAGAGAAGTTAGACTCACCATGTCCTACTTATTTCAACTTTTTACTGAGCTGAACTGCTTCCCCTGCCGGCACATCCAGGAACATGGGTAAGGTCTGGTAGATGCTTTCAGCCTTATCCTGCTATGATGTTTGGGCCGCAGTGTTATTTGCTCATTAGGCTTTTCTTGTTTCTTGAAATTTAACGTTTAGCCACTGTTTTGTAAATTCTGACTTAGGTGCCAAGTTAGGGCGCTATAATGTTATTGGTACAAATGAAATGGATCTTTTAGGACTTGCAGTCTTATGATTTGCATGATTTGCACAGACTTTTGGGAAGATGCCAATGCAGTGTTTGGTAGTTATAGGCTTAGGATATCTGTGGCCTTTTTTTTTCTTTTTTTCTGATCATACAAATGTTAACTTTTATAAAGTTTCTCCAAGAAATGAGGCTTTTGGCTCAAGCCCCTTTAGATAATATAAAGTGAGCCTATATGTTTATTATGTTTTTAAAATAAATTATTATGTCGATGAAGTTAGACTAAACTATACATTAAAATACCTGAAGGCATGATATGAGGACTTTAATTAGACATTATCCCACTGGTAAGAAATTAATTACAGAAGGAAATTTTATGGGCTTAGAAAAATATTCAAGCACCCTATTGAATAGAAGACCCCTAAATAATATGCATACCCTAACACGCTGTGACACAGTGGAAGTGTGTTACCTCTTGTGAAGTCACCTGCCTGCCTTCTGCTGGATGACTTTATTCTGCTGCCTCCTTGCTCTGCCCCTGAGGAAAGGCTTGGCTCCATCCTGTGATATATATAATGTTTCAGAGCCAGCCCCTGGCCAGGGTAGTTTGAACATTTGTTCTGATTTCTGATATTGTTAACATCACAAATAAAGAAAGGCAGATTTTCTTCCAAAGTGATCTGCCTGCAGCTTTGCAGCTTTCCCCCTTAGAGAAGGCTGGTTTTAACGTGCCACCTTACGTCTTGACTGAGAAGTAAAACCAATGTCAACAATAATAATTTTCTGGAGAAATAATTATATTTAGAACATTAGTGTAAAGCATTGACTATGACATATATGTCTTCTCTTTGGGAGCTGATTAATTAAACATGCTTTCTCTTGTCATTTTATTGTGAAATATACAACATGTATAGTCAAACGCACAAAACAGAGATGTACATCTCAGTAATTAACTACAAAGCAAATACTTCTGCAGTCACACCCAGATAAGGAAATAGAACTGTCCTGTCATCCCAGAAGGCCCTAACTTTTCTTTCAGGGGGTGGGTAATTATGAGATCAAAGAAGGGTTTGCAGAGAGGGCGGGTTGAAAAATCACCCATCAGCCAGGCAAATAAGGGGTTTTATACTGATCAAAAGGCTTAGCAGTTTGGAAGACCACAGTGCATTTGGGGAGTTGGAGTGCGGGCTGAGGGTTGTGGAGGAGGCAGTGGTGGGAGGGAAACAGCTCAGCAAGGCAGTCAGGGTTGAGGCCTGGCTGAGGGGCTGAAGCGTGGACTGCTGCCTGGGGAAGAGCGGGAGTTACTGAAGACAGCCTCTTTATCATATTTAGATCTGCTCTGTTGCTTGTGGGATGGGCACTGTCTTGCCAGGGTGTGGGTGTGAGGTGAGCAAGAGATTGGTGGAAAGGCTATTGACAATCTGGGTTAAGTTTTTCCTCTTATCTAATAATTCATTAATTTCTGTGGTGATATTTAATGAGTATAATTTCTAACTGAAAAATGTCCTCAAGTCTTCATGCAGCCTACGTCTGCCTCAGCTTCTTCTTAACTAGTCTTCCTGCTTCTTCCTGCCCATAAATCTAATCCAGTGACATTGTTTAAATTGTCTTTGGGTGGGTTGAAGTGGAGTGGATGATGGGTTGTGGGGACTAGGAGCAAAGGCCTAATAAAAATAGCCATAGGTGAGATAAGAGAATGATTTGAACCTTTCTGTGACGTCTTTCAGTATGTTTTAGAGACTTCCCTCCCCACTATTAATAATAACCCGGGACTTCGACTAATCACAGACTCAGCCAGTCATCCTTATTGATTACTAATACTGCAGGATCTGCTCCTTTTAGTTTCTTCCTTGTCCTAGTTCTTTTAACACCTCAATGCCTTTGCAAATTCGTTTTCCTCTGCCTGAATTTCCCTCTGCACTCCATGTTTGCTTGAGGAACTTGAAGTCATTCTTCAGGGCTTAGATGAAATGTCACCACTCTTTCCTGCCTCCCCAGCACTTTGTTATTCTACTCTAGGGAAAGCACTCAGGTACAGTAGAAGCATCTTAGTTGACCTCCAACTAATCTTGCTGAGCCAAATTGACCAAAGGTGGCCATTCCTATCCCTGATTATGCTGACTGATGCTGGCTGCATTTTCATAGCTGTTAGCATGTAAGAGAGGGTACGTGCTCACACCTATTCACACCTGCTCCCTTCCACTGAATGAGATGCTCATTGAGGGTCATGGGTTTATTCCTAAAGCAGTTGTAATAGCAAATGTTTTTAATGAAACATTTTAGTGAAAGATGTTTTATGTAGCAATGAAATATGAGTGCAAAAGAAGAATATCTATGACATTGAATATTGATAAAAATGAATTACTTAAATTGCTGTTTTAAAGACTAGACAACTTTATAGTTGGGGGAGGGGTGGTGAGGAGCATAATAATCGAGAAAATGTCTGCCGTCATACTGCTTTGCAAGTATTTTGCAGTTCTGCATTTTTAAAGAGACTTACATTGGAAGCTGGAAGCCATGTTTGTGAGTATGGCTTATGCAGAAAGGCCACTGGAGGGCCAGCCAGTGGGCTTAACTCAAAGAAAAACTTTGGCGCAATATTAAAGGATAGTGAATGAATATTTATTCATAAACTTTAAATTAAAATAGGGAAGGTATGTATACTTTTTAGAAAATAATTCCCTGCTTTAAATGACTTCAAAACCAAATTATGTATAAATCTTGATAATCATAGGTAAGAAAACTTCTACTCTAATTTAATGCTTTTAAATGTGTGCCTTAAATGCTGCATTTAACTCTTGGAGGACAAAACAAATGTCTCAATCCTCTTTGTATTTCCAATACTGGCACACAGTAGGCTTTTCCTAGGTGTTTGTCAGTTGACGAAGTGAATAATGAATGAGCGAGTTCTCTTTCTACTTCCAGAGCTCATCAGTATACTTCATGATGTTTAACTGGAGATTCAGGGGTTTTCTGGCCAGTATTTACTTCCCTCCCCACTATTAATAATAACTTCATCAGTATACTTTGAGATGTTTAACTGGAGATTCAGGGTTTTTCTGCTCTAAAATTTATCTACCAATGTATCATGGTACAACATAGCACCAGGGAGCAGAACTAAATCCCTTGTGGGTTTGGTTCTGGATGTGTTCTTTTATCATTATATTTTTAGGTTTAATGTGGGAGGGTAAAATAAATTGATTCAACTTGGTCCCCTGCTGTCTCTAGCTCCATGCTCTGTGATTATTTGCTGAAATGGGAAAAACTGGGAAGAAAGATTAGTGGCTCTTTATCAGGAAAAACAGGTAAAGAGTGAAAGACTGGGGATATTTTAAAGAAAAAAAAATGCTGCTGATTACAGGAGAAGAGAGGGGCACTTGTTAAAATAGAAAGGAAACAAATAATCATTTGTTTACATGCAGAGAGAGAGGACTTTTGTTTAACTCTGTACATTTCATTTAAGCACAACTTAAAATTCCTAAATATTGTATTTGTGTAAATATGGATTTAATTTGGGTAAACATAGATTTATTTCTCTAAATCCATTCAAACTGTGAATTTTTATGGAAGACAGTAGAAGGATGGCTGACTCTGATAAGTGGTCAGAGTGTAACAAATAGCTAAAGGTTTAGAAAGAAGGGAAAACCAACATTGACTTTATCCTGATAGGACTTTCTGAAGCAAAATTTTGAAGTGAAAAAGGGAAAAAAGTGTTTAGATGTATCCTTCCACACATTCATTTTTCAATGAATAAATAGCGTATAAGTGCAAAAACTTATTAGGTTTGTGCAGAAGTAATTGCGTTTTTTGCTATTACTTTTAATGGCAAAAACTGTGATTGCTTTTACACCAACTTCTACTATTGTGTTTGTCTCTGGATAAAGTTTTAAAAGTTGGGCATGCAGCTTCCTTTCTTTTCTTTTCTTTTTTAGTAAAGTAAGTAATACTTTTTCTGAAATTTGATAAATCATGTTTCTGTCTTGTTGAATGAATGGAGATACTAAACCAGCCCGCCTTCAGAAGATGCCCGATGTCTTATTTGCTCTTGGACTGTTTCTAGTTGTAGGATTTGTTTTTTACCTTGAATTTTATGTTTTAAAACCCTCATTACAGGTCTTTTCTTTCCTCCTTTCCCCTCAATTGCAGCTTGAGTTAACCTTCAGCTACTTGGAGATTCATGGCGTCATCTGCAGCAAGTCAGCTCAGGTGAGTGTGAAAAACAGATCACTGCAAGGTCATCTTTCTTGAATTCCTGAAACCCTAAAATGTTCCTTGAGACAATGTGGATAAACTAGGTTAGGGAAGATTAAATTTTCAAAATGAGAGACTCAACACTGGCTGTGTGGACAGGAGTTGGAAATTCATTCTGATACGGGAAACACATTCTCCATAACTCAGTTTGTGAATAACTAATTAGCTCTTATAACTGGCAATGTAAATGTGAGAGTACTGTTCCTTATAGAGTTTGTACAACATGCTTTGACACTAAAATTTCATAGCAATTACATAGTACTATATAAGGTTTTAGTGGGAATATAGTGATAATTTTTTGGAGTTAATAAAATGCAGATTTTAAAAAATAGCTTTATTGGGCTATAACTAACTGCAGTAAACTGAAGTGTACAATTTGATAAGTGTTGACATATGTATGACTCTCTCGGCCCTCTTCCCCATCTGCAGTCAATCTGCAGGTATCTACTTTTGATTCCTGTAGAGTAGTTTGCATTTTAAAAATTTTATATGAATGATGTCATACAATGTATACTCCTTCCTGTCTACCTTCTTTCAGTCAGTTTAATTATTATTATTTTAATTTTTTATTTTATTTTTAGTTCTGGGGTACATGTGCAGGGTATGCCAGTTTGTTACACAGGTAAATGTGTGCCAAGGTTTGCTGCACCTATCCACCCATCACCTAAGTATTAAGCCCAGCACGCATTAGCTATCTTTCCTAATATTCTCCCTCCCCCAACCTCAGTTTAATTATTTTGAGATTGATTTATTTTGTCGCATGTCTCAATAGTTTATTCTTGTTGTTGCTGAGTAGTGTTTAATTGTGTGGCTGTATTACGGTTCTTTTATCCATTCACCCGATGAGAGGGACATTTGGATTGTTTCCCATTTTGGCTATGTTGAATAAAGCTGCTATGAATATTTAAGTACAAGTTCTTGATTGGACATGTACTTTCATTTCCCACGTGTAATTACCTAGGGGTAGAATGGCTGAATCATATGATAGCTATATGTTTAACCTTTTAAGAAACTGTCACACTTTTCTACAGTGGTGGTACCATTTTACATTGTCACCAACAGCATATGAGAGTTCTAGTTCTTCCACATCCTCCCCAACATAAAAAATAGTCAGTCTTTTTAATGTTAACCATTCAACAGGTATGTAGTGCTTTTTCATTGTGGTTTTAATTTGCATTTCCCTAGTGACAGAACATGTTGAGTATCTTTTTATCTGTTTAATTGCCATCATGTATTTCCTTCTGCCATTACAAAAATTGGGCTGTTTGTTTTCTTATTGAGTTTTAAGAGTTTTAAAAAAAACACATTCTGGATACAAAGCCTTTATCAGATATCTTCTCTCAGTCTGTGGCTTGTCTTTTCATTCCCTTAACAGTGTCTTTCAAAGAGGATAATTTTTTTTGTTTTTTTTTTTTTTGAGATGGAGTCACTTGTTCTGTCGCCCAGGCTGGAGTGCAGTGGTGCAGTGGCGGGATCTCAGCTCAGGGCAAGCTCCGCCTCCCGGGTTCACGCCATTCTCCTGCCTCAGCCTCCTGAATAGCTGGGACTACAGACGCCCGCCAACATGCCTAGCTAATTTTTTGTATTTTTAGTACAGACGGGGTTTCACTGTGTTAGCCAGGATGGTCTCGATCTCCTGACCTCGTGATCCACCCGTCTCGGCCTCCCAAAGTGCTGGGATTACAGGCGTGAGCCACTACGCCTGGCCAAAGAATAGAAGATTCAAATGTTGATGAAGTTCAATTTATCAATATTTTCTTTTACGGATTGTGCTTTTAGTATCATATTGAATAAATCTTTTCTTAACTCAGGGTCACAGCATGTTCTATATCTTCCAGAAGTTTTGCAGCTTTAGGTTACACATGTAGGCCTATGATCCCTTTTGAAGTAATTTTTGAATATAAAGCTATGTATAGATCAAAATTTTTTTTAGTTTGTCTTTTTTTTCTCGTATTTATATTATATTCACTTGTTCCAGTAACATTTGTTTGAAAGACTATTGTTTCCTCACTGAGCTTGTTTTCACCTTTGTTGAAATTCTGTAGTCCGTTTAAGTGTGAATCTGTTTCTGCACTCTTTGAATCCCGTCTCCTTGCTACTATCTTCATGCCACTCTTGTACTCTATTATTGTGGCTTGTTTACAACAAAGTTTGAAATCAGAGAGTGTTATTCCTCCAACGTTTTTCTTCTTTTTCAAAATTGTTTCAGTGATTCTAGGTCCTTTGCAATTCCATGTGAATTTTAGAAACATCTCAGTTTCTATAAAAAGCTGGCTGGAATTTTGGCTGATGTTACAGTGAATTTTTAAATCACTTTGGGGGAAGAACTGATGTAATGTACAGTCTTCTGACCTAAGAAAACTATATATTTCTCCATTTGTTTAGGTCTTTTTCAGTTTTTCCTGAGTGTATTTTGTTGTAGCTTTCAGTGTACAGGTCTTACACATCTCTAAATTCATTCCTAAGTGTTTAATATTTTTTGATGCTGCTATAAATTGTGTTATTTTTAAAATTTCAGTTGTCTCTTGCTGGTATTAGAAATATAGTTGATTTTTGCATGTTGACCTTATATCCTGCTATCTTGCTTTACTCATGTATTAGTTCTAGTAGCTTTTAAAAATAGATTTCATCAGTATTTACAAAAATGTCATTTGTGAATATGGATGGGTACCTTTTATTTTTAACATGGGTGTCTTTTATTTCTTTGTCTAGTCTTACTGCTATTGGGAGATATTCCTCTACTGGTGTCATACTCCTACATATTTTGCTGAGTATGCCAGGAATTTAGTGCCATGACTACTCTTTGCCCAGGCTATTTCTCAGGGTTGATTGCAGTGAGCATCCTTGTGGGATGGTGGAATAGTTCCCTGTTGAACAAAGAACAGGCTTGCTTACTTCTTACTATGAAAACAGTAGATTTCCAATGTCCAAGGGTTCCTTTCTTGTAAGCAGCCTACTGTGTGTGCAGGCATCCATCTGAATCCCTTCATGTCACTATGTGGGACTTTGAGGGCAGGGGAATCTATCCAAATGTGGTGCACATGCCTTTTGTTGTGCCATTAATCATAAAATCCTATGTCTCTGACCCAGGTGTCTCCTGTCTTCGGCAGCATCAATGAAACAGTAATAGGCTAACTTACTGGCTTACAAGTAGGGTAAAATCTCAGACCTTGACAATTGTTCTGGTACCTACAAGACAGTGCTGAATGGAAGTGGCAAGATCAGACCTTCTTGGCCTTTTTCCTCGTCTTCGAGGGAAAGTATTTATTCTTTCACCATTAAGTGTGATGTTAGCTGTAGGTTTTTAAAATAGATGCCCTTTATCTGTTTTAAGAAGTTTCTTTCTATTTTTAGTTTGCTGAGAGTTTTAATCAGGAATTAGTGTTGGATTTTGGCAAATGTTTTTTCTTTGTCTATTGAGATTATTGTGTGGTTTTCTTTTAAGCTTCTTAAAATGGTGAATTATATTGATAATTTTTTTTAATATCAAATATTTTATTCCTGGGGTAAGTCTCATTTGGCCATGATGTATTATTATTATTATATATATATTTTTGAGATGGAGTCTCGCTCTGTCACTAGGCTGGAGTACAGTGGCACAAGTTTGGTTCACTGCAACCTCTGCCTCCTGGGTTCAAATGATTCTCCTGCCTCAGCCTCCTGAGTAGCTGGGACTGCAGGTGCGCATCACCAAGCCCAGCTGATTTTTGTATTTTTAGTAGATACAGGGTTTCACCACGTTGGCCAGGATGGTCTCAATCTCCTGACCTTGTGATTCGCCTGCCTCGGCCTCCCAAAGTGGTGGGATTACAGGCGTGAGTCACGATATATTATTCCTTTTATATATTGTTGAATTCCAAGTGTTAAATTTTTGTGAATAGTGTTTTGCATCGATGTTTGTGGGAGTGATTAGTTTGTCATTTTTTTTTTTTTTTTTTTAACATTTTTGGCTGGCTTCTCTATTAGAGAATCATGGATTTATAGAATGATTCTACATATTTCTTCCCTATAGAGGAGGAAGTAGTTCCTCCTCTTAAATTTTTTCTGTTGAGGTGGTAGGTGGTATTAATTTTTGTCTTAAATGTTTGGTTGAATTTACTGGTGAAGTTATTTGGGCCTTGAGTTTTCTCTTTGAGAAGGTTTTTTTTTTTTTTTGTGAGACTGGGTCTCACTCTGTTGCTCAGGGAGGAGCCGCAGGGGTGCAATCTCGGCTCATGGCAACCTTGGCTTCTTGTGTCCAAGCCATCTTCCCACCTCGTCCTCCCAAGTAGGGACTACAGGCATGCACCACCATGCCCGACTCATTTGTGTATTTTTTTCTAGAGACAGGGTTTCTCTGCATTGCCCAGGCTCGACTCAAACTTCCGAGCTCAAGCGATCAACCCCCCTTAGCCTCCCAGAGTACTGGGATTACAGGCATGAGTCGCTGTGCCTGACCAGGGAAGGTTTTAAACTGCAAATTCTATTAATATTACTTAATGATATAGATCCATTTGTATTTCTCTTGTTGAATGAGCTTTGGTAGTTTGTGTCTTTTAAGAAATTTATTTTATGTAAGTTGTTGAATTTATTGAAATAAAGTTGTTAACAATACCCACTTGTTATACTTCTAATACCTGTATAACAAGTATAACAGTATTGGGAATATCATTCCCAATACTGGTAATTTTGTTATCTCTATCTCTTTCCATTTCAGTCAGGTTAGAGGTCTACCAATTTTTTTGATCTTTTCAAACAACTTTCTTTTTGGTTCCATTGGTTTTCTTTATTGATTTCATTGATTTTTTATTTCCTATTTCATTGACTTTTGCTTTGATCTTTATTCTTTCCTTCTACTGTTTGTTTTAGCTTTTAAAACTACAGAGTGTGTGTGTGTGTGTGTGTGTGTGTGTGTGGAGTTTGTTGGTAATGTTCTTTAAAATTGTCAAAATCGTCACTGTGTTTTTTGAGATTTCATACAAACTCTTGGGACTTCTCCGCAGTTCATCTTAAAGCAATGTTTTATCTTACGTGTTTATCATTTTCCAGAAACTGGAGTTTGAAAGAAAAATCACAGCAACATATGTTTGCCCAAATGGTCAAACATATGCAGGAGTGAATGATCACTCATGAATGATGACATAATGACATAACCAGGGTCTTCTTGCTAGTCTTAATTCAGGAATGTTTATGTTTATGATTTGAGAGCTGGGATGGGAGCAGAAGGGCATTAGCGAAATGTTAATGCCAAGGTTATGTTCAAAATATGATTTCACTGTGCTATTTAATTATGAGAAAGGGTGTTGATGCAGCAAGACTAATTTTCCCATGTGGCTGCCAAAATTGGTCTTACCACACTTGTAGTCTTGCCCCTTTCAATATGCCTACCACTCCGAGGAACTGTATATAAAGCCGTCTGTCTCAGCCCCTGTCAGTATCAATACCAAAAGAACAGATTTACAACAGTGCTTCAATTTAACTTTGTCCCACACTATGGACCTTTGAGATGAAATTATAGTAGATATTGGCACTGCTTCTGTAAATGGCCTAGCAGTTCAGAGACTGGCAATACCAGTAACCTAATGGTATTCAAAATTTGCTGTGTTTTGGAATTGCCTGAGATTATTTTTAAAAATATACTTTCAGCAGTACCCTTCTCTCTGTCACGTCACACTTCCTCATCCTCCTCATACACACACAGCATATACATAGGACAGTTAACGATAACATACGTCTGCGGTGGACCTTTTTTTTTTTTTTTTTTTTTTTTGAACAAGTGTACCATTTGATTCTGTTGCATTCCAAAGGTTAAGAACCAGTGACCTGTGTAACCACTGGTTCCTTGAAGTCTCTAGTTTTAATTTTCTTTTACATAAAATCATAAGGATGGGAGTGTCTACCAGTGGCACTCAGAATCTAGCCTTGATTAGGAATTCTTTTATAATGTTCTCTGGGATTTATTTTTTTCTCCTTGCTATTTTTTATTATCATTTAATTATAGTTCGTCAACTCGGATAAAATTCCTGAGACTTACCCACTGCATTGTGTGTAAGAGTGAGTGATTGCTCTATAGAGTTAGTGAAATGTGACTTTTACTGTTGGTATTTTCCCCTTTCTTCAGAAATGTGGGAAACCTTTATCTTATTTTACAAGTCTCTATGCCACATTATTTTCTGGTGCTCGAATTCTGTTGCCTTCATGGTATTTAAGTTGAGGCCAGCAGTTATATAGTTTTGTAGTTATACAATTTTTGGACCCTTATTTTGTACAACTGAATACCTGCTATGATTTTTTTTTTAAATTATAGAGTTAATTGTTTGCTATGTCACAGAATGATATTGATAAGCCACCCACCACCCATGGGTATTTCTTTTTTCTTTTTTTCTCTCTGTCTCTCTTTTTTTTTTTTTTAGACGGAGTCTCGCTCTGTTGCCCAGGCAGGAGTGCAGTGACATGATCTCAGCTCACTGCAGACTCCGCCTCCTGGGTTCACCCCATTCTTCTCCTCAGCCTCCGAGTAGCAGGGACGATGGGCACCAGCTGCCACGCCCGGCTAATTTTTTGCATTTTTGGTAGGGACGGGGTTTCACCGTGTTAGCTAGGATGGTATCGATCTCCTGACCTCATGATCCACCCGCCTCAGCCTCCCAAAGTGCTGGGATTACAGGCGTGAGCCACTGCGCCAGGCCCACCCATGGGTATTTCTGATAGAGGGGAGAAAAACAACTCACAGGTGTGTTAGCTGGGGATTAGTAAAACGTGCTGTCCTTAAAGTTTAATCAGGTTGTTCGACCTTAAAAAAGGCGGTAGAGTGGGGTGGGAAATTTGAATCATACATAAGTTACTATGGCTTATGTCTCTGATTATTATTTTAAATGTGTATTAGATATCATGGATTATATCCTGCTAGGTGTCTAAGGAAAATGTGTTTCAAACATTCTGTTCCTCTCCAGCTGAAGTGGGAGGGAAAAGAGTATTTGATAGGAAACTCTTTTTTTCTTTTTTTGATGAGGTGACTTATTGTGTTGGTTTCACCTCCATCACTTTGTTGCAGTCTTTACATTATGCAAAGGTGGTGACATCTTACACAGGGTTCTGTGAGTGCTTGCTTGTAAGGTTGAATTGAAGGCCTCATTTCTTCCTCCACCTGTCACCTTTTTTCTTCTCTGTCATTCTATTCAAGCCTGTGCAATTAAAGATGATTAGGTGTTAAGATTAAGTGGAATTAGAATAAGCTAATTACTAATTACTCGCACCCAAACTGTGAACTGAATAGATGCGCTAGATGTGAAGAATGTAAAAGTACCCCTGTAGTGAAAAATATAATTACCCATGGTGGGAAGATTGGGGGTGGGGTGCAGAGCATAGACACAATGGCAAATCAAAAGTGTCTGAAGTGTCTGGCTTTTAAAAACATGCGTATGCACAGATAATGTGCATTTGAAAATTATGAGCCTAATTGCACTAAGTAGATTTAGTCTTACTTAAAACATCTTATAGACTACTGGGTTGTTTAGTCTCCAGGTACAATAATGCTTGGTGCCTTTTGCAAGAGGAATATCTCTTGAACCAGCTTTTAGAAGACAAATGGAGCCTTTGCCTAGAGAATTTTAAAGGCTTTGCCTTTCATTTCTTGAGGAAGGTACTGAAAAATAGGAATTTTAATTTTTTTTACGTTCAACTAACTAGCACAGAAGTGGTGTTTATTGAATACTTATTGACAGATTCTTCTGGAGGTATTTATGAAAAAGTGACATCTTAAACATTTACATTATTTATGTCCTTTGATCTCATCATTTTGACATACCTTGCATTACTTTTCCTTTTAACATGCATATGTTGAAATACTTACATTATTATTATTTTCAGTTTGGGCTAATTTTAGGAAAATCTAAGGCAAAATCTAAAAACTGCATTGCACATTATAAACAGTGTTTTCCATCATATTTTTGTATAGATAAAGTAAGAACAGGAAGTAAATGTGTGAGGATATTTTGATAAGTGATAATCTAAGAGGATTGAATTTTATGGGAATTTTTTGTGGGATGGGAAGATGGGGTTTTACTATGTTGCCTGGACTGGTCTTGAACTCCTAGGGTCAAGCGATCCTCCTGCCTGAGCCCCCTGAGTTTCTGGGATTACAGGCATGCACCACCACACCCAGCTTACATGAGTGTTTTTGAGGTTAAATAAAATGGCATCTTTTTTTAAGTGGCTGAAGTTCTTCTTATTTGTAATGTGTACATCTTCAACCTCTTGCCCCTTTTGTGACCTGCCCTCCTTCTCACAAGTTAATTTATACTTATTTAGAGGACTAGCTGTCTCAGTCTCAACATTTTTTGACATGTATTTTGGACATCTCCAGCAATTAATTATAGGAATGAGTCTTAGCCTAACACTAAACCTAACACCAAACATTTTATTAACATGTTACCTTAATATTCCAAGTATCCCCTCTTCTTAGAAAGATCGAAACCTTTTTGTTTTTGTTTTTTTAAGGCAGGGTCTTGCTCTGTCATCAGGCTGGAGGACAGTGGCACGATCTCGGCTCACTGCAACCTCCACCTCCTGAGTTCAAGTGATTCTTGTGCCTCAGCCTCCTGAGTAGCTGGGACTACAGGCACGCATCACCACACCCAGCTAATTTTTTTTTTTTTTTAAGTAGAGACAGGGTTTCACCATGTTGGCCAGGATGGTCTCAATCTCTTGACCTTGTGATCCGCCTGCCTCGGCCTCCCAAAGTGCTGGGATTATAGGTGTCAGCTCACCACCGCACCCTGCCGATAGAAACTTTTAAAAGCATTTCTCTTTTGCTCCCAAGAGCAAAAGGTTTTAACATTTTATTTAAGCATATTATAAGGTTTCTTGTTTTTGAAATGTGTGTGTATGTGTGTTTTAAAGGTAGCTTTTAGATTGCCCATGGATACTCACAGAAAGATATAGCCGTACTTATACTGCATAGCAGGGATATAAAAAGTTTGTAATACTGCAGCTCAGGACAAAATCTTGGTAAAAGGAGAGTCATGTTTGAATGTGGGAATTCAGTCTCTATCATATGGGAGTCTATTTGAATCTGCCAGCTTGGCCCTTGGAAACACTTGCTTCAGTTTCTAGATGTTTCTGACAACACCTACACCCGCTACCCAAACACTTCTTTGAGTCTTAAATTAAGTGTGTCATTTTAAGGAAGTGCTTCTTGAAAAGCTAATGCTGTGATTCTTTTGTAGTTCATGAGCGTGATGGTTGGGTGTTCACGCACGTATGTGAGATGTGCTACCCTCGAACCTTGTTAAAAGAAAAAACAGCTAATATTGTATTAGTATATATCTGTGTGACTATGTAGTTTACAGTACTGAAAATAATTTAAAACGGAAGGAACTGGACTCATTCTTAAGAAGTGTCCCACCCGGTTCTTGCAGATGGTTGTGGAAACTGAGAAGTGCAACATCTCCATGAAGATGGCATCGCCCGAGGACGTGAGTGAGGTGCTGGCTCACATAGGCACCTGCCTGAGGAAGATATTTCCTGGCCTCTCTCCAGTGTGAGTTTCCCTGGGCAGGGTGAGGAGAGCAAATAACCTGTTCTTCCTCAAAACGGCAAATACAACAATGCTTTCTTTTTACCCCTTCACTTAGTTCCTCTCTCAGACTTTCTCCTCCTCTTAAACATTAAATATCAAAACCCTTGTGTTTTGGTCTGAGGATTTCTACAAGACTGTGTCTTATTCTTCAAAGAGCTTGAGTGATGAAGGGATTTGGCAATCCTTTAACTTCGCATAAGACTAAAACAGTAACCTTTTAATATAACTCCAGATTTACACGAGTGTGAATTTTACTCACAGCTTATTACCAGAGTGCCAGGGGCTGCATACTTTGTATAGTGGCACCAAATATAATGTGCATGAAGAGAGAGAGGGCTTTATTTTCTTTGCTTTTTTATTTTCAGTAACAAGAAACCTAAAAAAATTGAATGTAAAAATCCCTTTTTTTCATTGTCCTCTTAGTGTTCTGAAATACCCATCAGGCGTATTAGTAAATTTTGTTCATCCATGCCCTCGTATTTTTTTTTAAGCTTTTAAAGTCAGGATTATGGGCTTGGATACCTGAGTTTGTAGTTGTGGGGTGTGTGGGTTGCTGGGATGTGGGAATTAGATTGACTGAGGTGAAAGGCAGAGAGATGCTTATGTCTGAAAGCTCCCTAAAATAATAGTTATAGTCAAAATACCCTCCTGAAAGAAGAACAGGATTCACAGATGGCAGAGAATTTCCCTCCCATTGCTCTCCCAGAAGGCAGAAGTATATACAGGGAAGGGCTGGAGGCCCCTTGTAGACATGTGTAGCATGGTAGCTGTGTTCCTTGCATGGTGGAGGTGGGAGGGGAATTTTGGGAACAGTTGCCCTTCATAGCACATGCTCCTCCTGCCATTCCTTGCCTGCAAGTTGAGGGACAAAGCAGCAGGAAAACCTAGACTTTTAGTCATTTAAACCTTATGGATGACTAAAAGTGGCTCAGTGGGGACAGACACTCCCTTTCAAGCTCTTTGGCCCTACTCAGTTCCCTTCACAGCCCTTCGCAGGGCTCTCTCTCTTCCCCACGTGGTGGGAGGTGAACGCACCAGAATGGAAGGCTGGCCCTGTGCTTGCTGGTTGTTCACCTTGGGCTCCTTCCTTCTTGAAGCTTAAGTCTTGTGGTTCTCTGATTATCAGGGCAGCTGGTTGCTGGGGGAGCTAAGTGTCCCTAGCCTCCATTTCAGTGGAGTGGAGAGGGTGAGCTGGGACTGCCCTCTGACTCCTGCTTGGCTAGAATTTCAGGTATGAGGTGTCTTCAAGGCAAGCTCTCCTGGTCTCTAATCACACACACGGGCAGTTCTGGAGAAGAAGTGTGGGCAGCAGTGGGTGGCAGGATGAGGTAAGAAGTGAATCTGTGGTGGCAATGGGAATTGCCAAGAAGCAAAACTTTCTTAGGAATGGTTTCGACATCATCCTTAGAGCCAACAGAGAACTAGCTGGGGTAATCATGAGTTAACAATAGCTACAACCCATTTTCCTTAAACTACATTTCAGTAATGTGACTTTGTACATGTGTTTCTTTATAATGTGCTCGCTTTCCTTCTAAATTAACACTGATGAAATAAAAAAAAATTATTAAGCACCACCTTACTTGGCAAGAGCTTATAATACCCTGGACTTTAAAGACACTTCAGAACAATATTTAGAATCTGTATTTTCTTTAAAAGGCAGCCTTATTTGTTTAGTATTGTAGGATTTTCAGAGAAATTAACCATTTTTATTTTTAGTTTGGATTCTTCCATTTTTTTTTCTTCCCAGAGAACATTGAGTAAGAATAGTATTTTCACTTATAGCTTCCATTTAACTTCTTGTTAAAATCTTCAGGCAAATATTAAACAAGTATTAATCACCTCTGTTTCTAGGAAGAAAGTTCCCATGTGTATGTTGATTTCTAAATCTAAGACCTCTACTGTACCCAGGTCTTCATCCCCACTTACCAGCTGCCTGTTGGGCATCTCCACAAGGATAGCCCCAGGCACCTCACACTCACTATGTCCCATGCTGGACTCCTCACTTTCCCCCCTAAAAATTGCTTATATTCTGTATTTCTATCTCAATTAATGGCATTGTCATTCACATAGTCTCACAAGTTAAAAGCTGAGCCATGTTCATCTCTTGGTCCTTACTGTCATATTCGATTGGTTGCTAAGCTTTTAAACATATTATCTTAATATCTCATAGTCTGGTTCTTTCTCCTTGTTTTCATTTCCACTGCCATAGTCACTTTCTTCCTTGCATCTTTCTAGTTAGTCTCCCTGCTTCTAGTTCTTCTCTTGCAAGTGATCCTTCATACTGTCATCAGAGTTATCTTTTTATAATTCAAACAGTATCTGTTCTTTGCCTAAACTCTCAAATGGCTGGCTTTCCTGATAAAATGTAAATTGTATAGCCTGACACAGAACACCATGGTTTTCCTCTTCCTGAACACAGTCAGGCTCTTTCATATTTTCAGCACCATTATCATAGCTCTAATCCTGACAAATTCCAAAAGATTTAACTCGGGTATCTTCTCATCTGTAAAGAGAGTCTTTATTCATGTTTCCAAAGAACTTTGGATCATTTCCTGCACTAGTACACATCATACTGTGTTGTAAATGCTTGTTCATACACTTAAATATTCCATGAGTATTATTGAGTTTCTACTATATGCTAGGCACAGTGCTAAGTGTTGAGGTCCAGCAGTGAACATGGTCCCTGCCCACATGGAACTTACATTTTAACTTGGGGGAGGGAAATACATAAATCAAGTAACAGTACCTTTGAGTAAGTGCTATGAGAGTAATAGATGGGACTAATATAAAGAATAAACTTCTGTCTCCAAAGGCCTCCCTGTGGCCATGATAACTTCAAAAGACCTAGTGGAAGAGAAAGTGCCTGCCCTATAAAAGGAGGGCAAAGAATATTATCTTCCCAGGGCTTTTGTTCATGCTATTTCTCCTGCCTAGAAAGGGGTTGGTATCTCTGAGGAACTGAAAGACATCCACTTTGGCTGGGGCATAATGAAGAACAAAGTTGGGAAGGAGTGAGGAATGATGCAAGAGGGGGCTAGCACTAGCGCTGGTGATATAGGCGGAGTTGATGTAGAGCCTTGTGGGAAAGAGGTTGGGATTTAGAAGTATTTTCCTGGGAAGCCACTGTAACATTTTAGGGGTAGGAGATGAATTTTTTTTTTTTTTTTTTTTTGAGACTGAGTCTCGCTCTGTCGCCCAGGCTGGAGTGCTGTGGCCGGATCTCAGCTCACTGCAAGCTCCGCCTCCCGGGTTCCCGCCATTCTCCTGCCTCAGCCTCCCGAGTAGCTGGGACTACAGGCGCCCGCCACCTCGCCCGGCTAGTTTTTTGTATTTTTTAGTAGAGACGGAGTTTCACCATGTTAGCCAGGATGGTCTCGATCTCCTTCTCGGCCTCCCAAAGTGCTGGGATTACAGGCTTGAGCCACCGCGCCCGGCCGAGATGAATCTTTAGATAGTTTATGAAGATCTTTTGTTTGTTTGTTTTCTGCTAAAGAGAATAGATTGGTGGTGGGGCAAGAGTAGAAGTAGAAAGCTAATTTGGACACTTGTAGTAATCTAGGCAAGAAATGACTGTGGCCAGGAGAAAGGTAGCAGCATTAGGGATTAAGATAGAGAGAGTAGATGTAAGCTTTATTTTAGATGCAGGAGTTGCTGATGGATTAGGTAAGTGTGGGTAAGGGCAGTGAGGAAAGAAAGAGAAGAAAAACAAGGATGGCTTCTCAGATTCTGGTTTAATAACTGAGTGACCAATATGACAGCAAGACAGAGAAGGCCTGGGGTAGGTGGGGGACAAGTTTTTTCTGGGGGGTGGGATCCGTAGCCATTCTGTTTTAGACATGTGGAATTTGAGATCTATTTGTGTAGGACCTACAAGACCTCCATAGACCTCTCCTCCAAGCTCCATCTAGGTGAGGCTATAAGGTAGGCAAATACGTGAGGTTGGGGCTTGGAGGAGAGGTCTGGAGATGGAGCAAAGGTGAGTGCCATGAGTACAAGATGGTCTTCACTGCATGGCTGTTGATTACATCACTTGGAGAAAGATGTGCAGATGAGGCATACTTGGAATGAGCTCAACATTTAGAGGTCAGGTAAACTAGGAAGAGCCACAAATGGAGTTGGGTAAGGACTGGCTGTCAAGGTAGGAATAAGACCAGTGAAAAACCAAGGCCTGGGAAGGAGTGGTGGCTCTGCAGAATGATGCTGGGGCTGAACAAACTGCAGGCAGAGAGGTGTTCAGTGGGTTGGTGACATGGATAACACAGGCACCTTGATGAGAGCAGGTCTAGGGGTCTGGTTGGGAGGGGCAGACTGCTGTGGTTGAAGGATGAACTCAGAAGTGAGAAAGTGGATGTGGCATGCATGGACAACTTCATAGAGAAGATCAGCTATCAAGGGGAACTGACAAATTGGATGTAGCTAGTGCACTCTGAGGGATTACAGAGGATTTCTGTTTGTGTTTAAAATGGGAGATAAAAGCATATGCTTAAACCATATGGCTGTAATGAGGGGAATGATCAGTAGAAAGAGAGATTTGTTGCTGGAGACTGCCCTAATAAATAAATCAGCAATATCCTTGAGAAAGTGAGAGGCACGGTACAAAACACACCTGTTTTTCCTTCTAGGCTGGGAGCTGCTTAAACAAAGACCATGTTTTTATTAATCTTAAATCCTTAGTTCTTGGCACATAGTAGGTACTGATTGAGGTTTTGGATGAGGACATACACTTCACACTTACTCCGTGCCCAGTACCTTGTTGGATGATGTACCACGGGGCATAGAGAAGTCAGAAGACAGTGGCCCTGCCTTCAAACCATGAACTCATTAGCTGAGGTAACCTGAAGCAGATGAGACAGGAGATGATTGGGTGTAAGTGGGAGATGAATGAGCACAGGCTGACTTTGCAAAGGAGATTTACTGCAAATGGATGGAGAGAAATCAGAGGAGAGAGTAGGGAAAGGAAG